GTCATTTATTACTGGTCTTTTATACCTGCATTGTGCTCTGCCATTTGGAAATTTCAGCTGAAAAGTTGGTAACAGAAGTGAGTTAGCTTCACTATATAGATAAATACAGTGTCTTAAAAGCACTGTACGACAAGTAGAAGGAGAAAAAGTGCAGAATTTTGTGAAAATTAACAATGATTCTGTAGAAAAAAGCAAGAACAACAATGATAACATGCAGAAAAAACAGATGAAGGAAAAGTCTTTTAAAACTATGTCTCAGTCTAAAGTAATATCCAATATTTATCAACATGGACTGGAGTTGATTTTAAAAATGTGAAGTAGTTCAGTTTGATATTCTTTAAGGTATAGCAATTTAATCAAAACAAAACCAAAGCACAAATGGATTTAAATTATGATAGCTAACTCTATATTAATTTGAAAGTTTGAAAAATGCAGTTTTCTCTTCCTTTTAGCAGTTTAACAGTGTAATACCTTGACTAACTTCAAGTAATTCTTTCATTTAGCATTTATTGCCAGTCAGCTAGTTTTCCCTTTCCTGTTGTCATGGTAGATACAAACGACACATACGAAAAAAAAACCCTGCAACCTTATAACCCTATAGTTATACTGGATGGTCTCGAAGGGATTACATACAAATTAGCCAATAAAGCAGGGTCAGGCAGCTGTATCTGCCAAAAGGACCACTTATTATTTTATCATTCTTGTTATTATGACTGTTGCTATTTTTGCATTTGGTATTGTTTTAGCTGACTCCTGCCAGTGCAATAGGAGGAGGTACCAGTAACTGTTTGCAACTCGAGCTCAGGCTTGCAGGCTGCTGAGTCATGCTGACGGATCTGTGCAAAGCCAGTATGTTAGTGCTGGACTCCAACTAATTGCTTATTACTTGCAAAGAGAAACTTCTTTATATTAGGAAAGTGTAAGTGCAGTGAAACTGATGGGGGAAAAAAAAAAAGTGTGTGTTTCTCCAATACTAGCATCAGTAGAAAGGGAAGAAAACTGCCTAAGTAAGGTGTATATACAGCAGCAGCCCTGTGCTGAGAGCATAGATGTTTAAATGCAATCAAGAAAAACAGATTATAGGCAGTGAGGTAATCTTAGCATGTACTTATTTCTGTTCCTACGGGGGGGGAGTAAGGGAGAGGCTGGAAGGGAATGGTGCTGCAGAGGTGCAGGAAAGGGATGTGAAATAATGGGATTGTAGGGCATGACTAGCAAGAATAGTGAGCCCAGCAGAAGCCACAGAGCACTGGCTGCGAAATACAATGTTTTGGGAACCTTAGGAAGTATCTCTGTGCTGGTAGCCAAAGCAGAGGCACAGAAGTGCTGGCTCATACACTTTCTGCCCAGAATTCTTGGTTACTTTTAAGGATAACTCTTAGTCATGTTGCAATGGAGTTCAGTTGCTGTCCTGCAGAAGGAAAAATGGAAAGTCTAAAAAATGCCAGAAGGCACTTTATTTGCATGCATTGCATTGCACATGAACACTTATGCCCTGGAAATGATCTAAGTCACACTCCTTTCCCTTCTTTTTCAACTGCATTCTTTTACTTGAGCACTGTGCATAACCGAGCTATACTGTGTGTAATGTGCTGAACTTTCCCTCATTTTGGTCCAGCATCAAATGTACAACTGCTCTTGGAGGAAACTTCCAGCAGGAGTAGCCAGAAAGAAGGCACTGATGAATAAAGGCTTCCTGGGATTCTGTGAAAATAGCTCTTATTTGCTTGCTGGTAACCTATTCCAAACACGCATTCGTGCCAAACTCCTTGCAGCTCTTACTCCCTAATGCTTACTTCACCTTAATGGATTGTAAGCAGAAAAGTAACAGAAGCATACTTTGGGGATTCCTTAGGTAAACCTAAGGTTAAGTCCTTAGGAACCAGTTCATTTTCACAATATTTTCAATGCCAACTATATATATCACTATATATTGTGATTTTGTCACAATTTCTGAGTCTGGATTCCCCTCAGCTCTGTCTCTAGACCTGATCTGAAACAGCTCACTGCACCACCCCCAGGACTTAAAGCTGCCCCTAAGCCTTGCACATTTAAGTGTTTACATTCAAATTTAACCAATATGTCATAATGACTTTTTAACTCACTTATAGTATGCCAAATCAATATATAAACATTGAAAAGGAAAACATATATATTTGCATATTTACCTTATTCCTAGTTCTTGAAATCTACTGTGTAAATAACACATAAAATACATTGTCCAACATGTATGTATCCAGTTTCCTATATATGTATTAATGTGATCCAAGTTTACAAGTCAGATCTATTATACAGCTTTGGATTATTAAAACACTATCTTTTCACTGTTGTTATTATTTCAGGAAGACATATGTGCTCAAAATTACTTAAACAGAGACGGAAATCGAAAAACAACAAAAAAATACGATTGTAATTTAGGCCTCGATTCTGCAAATATCTTTTAATGTTAAATATCATTAAAAAACCCTTCAGCTATTAAACTGTTATTTCTGCATGCAGTATCTAATGCTGTTCAAAATTAGAGCACACCAGCCAAGGAAATACATTTCCCACACCTGAAATCTCCAGATATGTGATACCGTCATGACAATATGATTGAGTTCATTGTCATATGTATGTAAAACATTGTACAGTTAAGCTGGTTAGTTTTCATACCAAACATTTTCATTTTTGTAGATTTTTGTATGTTTAAGGATATCCTTTTTTTTGATTGCTTGTTTTAAACCTTCTCAGATGTACAGCTCTACTCCTGAGAGCCAAACTTAGCAGGGGGAGAACAACTAGGACTGGTATGAAATGCCAGAACAAGCCTAGTGCCAAAATAAAAAGCAAGCAAGAAACCATAACTGTTTATATATATTTTTAAACTTTGGCCAGTGTTCTTTTTATACTTCATAAAAGAAGTTGAGAGCAAACAAGAAAGGGAGCATTTCTTTTCATTCTCTGGAAACACTGGGGAAGAGATACAGGACAGGAAAGAAAGAAAGAAATGGTCAGGGCAAGGGAAAAAGCTTTGTGTGAGGATGTGAAGAAGGCAGGCTGGTGCCCTCACCAGTCTTTTATATAGCAGGGCATCCTCTTACTGGCCAGAGTAATTTTTACACAGTAATAACCTAACTGTATCTCCTCCCTCCTGACCCAGATGAAAAGAGAGGGGCTGTAAAAAAAAAAAAGTGAGTGAGGAAGAAGGGGGGAGGAGGGAGCGGGGAAGTATTGCCTAGATCGCTCCCTCCATCACAGCGCCTGATTTATGGATGCACCTTTCTGTTTCTCCAGTAATTTATCTCATACAGATGTCTCTTGCTGCTTTTCCCTCTACTGCTGAAGCAATAATTAAGTTTTGGGGGAGATTGTTAGCTGTGAGCATTTTGGGGAGCCAGTGAAGTGAGGACACAACCTTTGCCAGCTGAGCCGAGGCGGCGGGCTGGGGCCTGGCGGTGCTGCGCGCAGGTCTTGTTTCAGCTGGAGCTGGAGCAAAGCTGCTCTCAGCCCCAGCCGCTGCTCTCAGCCCCAGCCGCCGCTCTCTGCGACTGCTGTGTTTGTTAATAAGGAGACAGGCGAGGAGAGCTAAAAAGGGAAAAGCAAGCGTCTTGAGGAAACTCTCAGCAACAGTAGCATACAGCCTGCTTTAGTATATTTCTTCTCTGTTAAAGGAAAAGGGAGAGAGCTGCCATCCGGCCAACCACAGAGCTGCTCCAGGGCCATTCCTGTGTCCTTTGGGGCCCGACCCCAAACACTTCCACCCGATGAGAGGAGGCTGCAGGCAGCTGCCCGTGGTGCGGTGGGAGGGTTCCTGCTTGGGTTCACCCTGCTGCTAAGGCCGCCACTCTGTGCCACACTGCTTGTGACTGTGGGCTGCCCTCGGGAGTGCACCCCCCCCCCAGGGACCCCCTCTGAAAACACTTGTTTCCTTCCCATCTCTGCCAGTAACTTTGTTATGGGAAGCAACAGCCCTGCCACGGGAAGGAGGGGAGGAGGGAAGAGGCCATGAAACAGGGCAGAGGCCAAGAAACAAAAGCAAATAATAGATGGGACTGCTGGTACCTGTCCTTCTCTCCCCAGCTGCACAGGAGAAACGCTCTCCGGAAGGAGACGGAGAAGCGCAGCTCAGACATGACTGGGTGGCACGGTAACTGCAGCCCCAGCGCCCGGCATGGAAACACTCCGAGCTGCACACGCAGCCGGAGCCCGAGTGGCAGTAGGGGAACCCCCGTGCACACCCCCCGCAGCTGCAGCGGGAGCAGCGCTGCCCCTGTCCACCCACCCCGAGCTGGAGCGGCAGC